GTGTGTTTTGCAAAACAAGCAAAAGTTCTTGGGAATCAATAATATGTGGTATTGTTTAAAAAAAATAAGAAGCAAGCATAACAAAATAAAGTGTGATTAAGTCATCAAATATATATAATGATAATTAAAAAAGTCATTAAATATATATATATTCATAGATATCATTTTAATCTGTTGTATTATAAAAAATGCTAGAAACATGTTTTTGTTTTATAATTTTTGATTTATATTTAGTGAAGTAATTTTCAATTTTCTGTGAATTTTACTCCATGTAAAATAAGTATATTCAAATTTTTTATATCCCTCGGTAAATGACAAACATTTCGGTACACACAAAATGAAATAGACAAATATCACAAAACAGAACGGGGTATATGTCCAACAAGACTTTTCTATACGCCATTATTGACGATGCCACAAAGTTTTGCTCTGAGCGGCAAAGAGACAGGAGGTGCAGACAGAAAATGGCGACAGCGATGCGGCAATTCCAACCGTCCGCCACCGGCACAAGAACCTTAACTATCACCATAGACGACGCGGCTTCTCAGCCGGTCGATTCCTCGTCGTCCCATCGGCCTTGGAACGAAACCCTAGTCCTCAAATTGAAGCCCAAGAAGAAGATGGTTTCATGGAAGGAAGGCACGGTGGACAACGAGTTCCTCAACAGGAAAAGCTCTAAGAAATGCTGCATTTTCCACAAAGACAAGCCCTTCGACGAAGATTACAGCGACGACGAGGATGAAAAGAAGGGCCGTTCGAATGATCATCCCCCCCATAATCATGCTCACGAAGATTGCGGTAGTTGCGAAGGTCATTGATTGATTAGATTTATAAGTGTAACAAAAACCTAAAGACTTTTTGTAGATATTTGGCGCATGGTTGGATGTAATATAGACAATAAGTAGAAGTATATGTTATCAATTGATCTTATGCAAATTATTAATTGATCTTTTTTGGATTCATTCGTTCCTAGCTTTCTTTATTATTTATGTTCGTAAAATTTATTATCTTGAATCTGAATAGCAGTTGAAGCAGGTTGTATGGTTAGTTTGGAGATATTTGGTGCCCTAATTTTTTTTTTGAAACATAATAATCTTGTGTCATTGAATGGGGTTAGTTGAAGAAATGAAGGGGAACGTATGAATTGGCAATTGTCCATTTGATCACCCGTAGAGGTTGTTGAATGAGGACTGACTGCGAGAGTTAGAGATCTCAAATTCAATTCTAAGAGCGGCGCTATGAGAGTTGTGAGAGTTTCATCTAATGTGTGATCAACTGATCATTATTCCATGTATAGTTTGTATACATTAGGGATGGATTGGGACAGGTTTGGGCCGGGCTTCGGGCCGGGCTTCGGGCCGGGATTGAGTGGGCTCGGACCTAAAACTTTCAGGCCCGGTACCGGCCCGGGTTTGTACCAGGCTGAACCGGGATTGGGCAATAAATTAAAAAAGTAGTGCAATCAGGCCTAGCCTTGAACTCGGGCCGGGTCGGGTCCGGGTCGGGCCTAGGCCCGGGCCGGCTTTTGCTGTTTGGGGTGAAGGCCCGGGACCCGCCCGGGTTACCACCGGTAAACCTGTCAATGGGTCGGGTCCGGGCCGGAACGTAGTGTTCCAGACCCGGACCCGCTAAGTAAACAAAGGACCCGGACCCGACCCGTTTATCCGGCGGGTCTAAAAATTTGGACCCGGACCCAACGGGTCTCGGAACCGGGTCGGGTAGACCCGCCAAGTATCATATGCACAACATTATATAATTTTTAAAAATAGCAAAACATGTACTCCGTATATGAAATGTAAATTAAAGTGCACAAAATGTTAGGACTTTGTGTCTAAAAAGATCGCACTTTGTGTCTCTTTCTCTCCCATAGAAAACTCGTATATTAGACTAGAAATTAGGTCACAAAATGTTCTTTTGGACTAAAAGCATATTATATACTATTATATTATCACTTAAACATTGGGTATGTATTAATTTGTACTAGCTCCGTCCCGCTAGAAGGTTCCCATAACAAAAATGACACGGTTATTTAGGTGATAATTAAATAAAGTACTTCAGGTATATTTTGAGAAATAATTTTAATAGGTATATATTATAATGTGTTAGTATCGATAACTATGATGTTATAAATGTATTATTTTTAATATTTAATGACTAATTTGTCACTTAAGATTGTTAATTGTTTCCTAAAATGAAAATGAGAATCTTCTAATGGGACGTCCAAAAAAGAAAAGTGAGAACCTTCTAACGGGACGGAGGGAGTATCTTTTTAATCAAAGAATTAAAACTAATCACTTTATATACTCGTATATTAGTTTGTATTTTTATTTGAAGTATTATTATAACTAATCTCTTTATGTATTAGTGTGGGTGTGTATATATATATACTAATAAGAAATTTTAAACGGGTCCGGGTCCTTAACGGGTCGGAATCATATATATCATATCCGACCTGTTTATTAAAAGTACTAACGGGTCCGGGTTCGGGTCCGGGTAAACGGAATAAAATAAGGACCCATACCCGTTAAAAACAACCGGGTCGGGTCGGGTCCGGGTCTAGACCCGACCCATTGACAGGCCTAACCACCGGGTCCGTTTTTTTTTCTTTTCTAATCAACCCCCGATCCCCCCCCCCACCGCAAACCCCCCCAAAACACCCAGCCCAACTCAAGAAAAAGCCCAAAAATATGAAAAATCCAAAAAAAAAAGACCCGAACCGGGCCCAGAACCGGCCGGGCCGGTTCCAAAGACTGGGCTGAACCGAGACCGCCCCGCCCTAACCCCCGGGACCGGGCCTAGGCCCGGAACCAAAACCGGTTCATCGGGCTGGACCGAGCTCGCACAGTAGCGGGCCCAGGCCGGTTCCCGGTTCGGGCGGCCCGAACCAGGTCCAAGACTAATCAGGCTCAGGACCGACTGGGTCGGGCCCAAAAAACGAGCCCAAAGTTCGCCCTTATAGCCAGCGGGCCGGGATCGGGCCTACACATTAGCGGGTCGGGCCGGGCCGGGCCGGGCCTGAATAATACCGGGTTGGGTGGCCTGTCCCAGTCCATCCCTAGACCCTAGTACACATTAGGTCATGACTCTTGAATCACTCTCTAAGAAATTGTTTGAAATCATACCGTTATTTACTCACATACCTTCTGTTGGGTCGAAGTGTGAAGACGCCTGGGTTGGCGATCACACCTTTTGGGTTGTGATCAAATATATCGATAGAATTTGGTTCCAATAAAAGTGGTCTTCTTATGAGAAATGCAAATGTCTCCATTTTTTATTATCTTAAGTTCAATATTGCACTTAGATGATTTTCGTCATCCACTATTGGTCATCCATGGTACACTTTTGCACACAGAAAGTTCATTTTTTATTTGATCCAATATATATATAGGATCACATATAAAGTAATCTTAATTTACAAAGTGCAAATTAATCTAGACCATCCATATGAATGAAATAAGGGTGTAGATGGTTTCCATGTAGAGGTTAGAATCCTAAAAAAACTCCTAAAAACTCCCCTACCATACGGCTCATTTATTAGTGTTCAAAACAACTCGTAACAAATCCTACCATTGATTGCATAATACTGGACGGATGAGATTAATCTGCATTTTGTACCGGAGGGACACTTTGTATCTGATCTTAACCATATATATGTGTGTGTGTGTGTGTGTGTGTGTGTGTGTGTGTGTGTGTGGAACGGATCAGGTGAGAAGTGCTCTTAGGCTGAGAACTGCGAATTTAAACTTATAGCCTAAATATAGGAACTTTTAACCAATAAATCATAACTTATAGACCCCTGGAAAATAATTACGAAAATGCCACCGCAAAAAAATAATTACGTAAATCTGGAAAAAAATGACGCGGTGGCATTTTCGTAATTATTATGTAGAGCTTTATAAGTTATGATTTATTGGTTACAAGTTCCTATATTTAGTCTATAAGATTACTGTAAGATCAGATGCAAATCCAAGGGCTGAGATTACTTCTCACTTCTCATTTTAAGGGGCACTTCTCACCTGATCTTATATATATATATATATATATATATATATATATATATATATATATATATATATATATAGATACATATATATATAGTATGAATCAAATAAAAAATGTTCTTAACTTGTAAAATTCAAAATATTCACTTTTGTAGTGCTACAGTGCATTTTTCTGTTCAAGTAGTGCATTTTTTCATGTTTGTAGAAAAGTTCGTTTATTTATAAAAGTTCCCGAAATATGACTAAAATAGTATGAAAATTCCAAAATAGGACTAACATGTTTTTTATTCCCAAAATAGGAGTAATTATTGCCAAGTTCGGAAAATATTGTCATGTTTAACGCCTGGTATTGCCAAAACATGGCAGTAATTAGTCCTATTTTGGGAATAAAAACATGACAGACCTATTTTGGAATTTTCAAACCTTTTTAGTCCTATTTCGGGTAAGATTCTCTTTATAAAATTGCCACCACGTGTTTTTTAAAAGGTGACAACTCCGGTACCTATTTAAAAAATGGGGTACCGTACCTATCATCTCCATGATTGGTCCAAATCATTTTATCATTTTTAATTTAGATTTAAATAATTCAACTGCAACATTCTGGTTGATCCATGTGGACAAAAGCATGGTACCTTAAGGGTACCATAGAATCTACCTTTTTTAAAATGTGCATTTTTTATAAACATGAAAAAGTGCGCTATCGGAACAGAAAAGTGCACCGTAGCACTACAAAAGTGAATATTTTGGATTTTACACATTAAAACATTTTTTTATTTTATCCGTTACCTATGTATATAGTACCATTCCTGCTGATTCAGTGTGCCTGTGGGCAATAACATGTCAATCTGTGCAACTTATAACACCTTTCATTGATTATTGCTACATTGAGCTTAAGAAGTGACAGTATTTGTAGGAAACCAAATGGTTTGTTTTATTAATATACTATGACAATCATCCATGGGGAGGTAAAGAAAGGTGCAGAACTGCAGAAATATACCATAGGTGCAAATACTCCCTGTTAATTACTTATTGACCACTCTCATGAATGAGCATTTACCACCATGGGAATTCGCAAGGATGGTGTAACTTGTGCACAATTAGCATATCTCAAATGAACTCAGATTGCACGGCTTACAACAAACTACAAAAGGAATCAACTATGATAAGTTTGGGTGGACAGGCGCAAGTTCTGATCCGATTCTGGACCAGGTGGCTCTGGACCAAAACTGTGTCCATGTGTAATGATTAGCAAACCAGACGAAGGTAGCCGCCACAATGCATTTTATGAAATTGTTGAATTACATAATTATTATAGATACAGATGCCACTTATCCTTTTTCTGTTTTTTAGTTGAAAGTTCTTTAATCAACTGTTTTAACATCAAAATAGAATGCAAGTAGGCAAAAAGCTCTTTTGGAACACTAGTGCCGTAAGCATTCTAAATTACCGCAGCCATAGAAGAGGATTCATAAGTAACACAATAACATGTCTCCTACTGATGATGATGATGATATCGAGTTCAGAGCGATACAAGGGAGTTGACATGAGGAATGTAAGACGTAAATTCGCTGACACTATCCACTTCAGGGTTTATGCCGTCAATCTCATCTTGCTCATCAGCAATCTCATCTTGCTCATTAGCAATCTCATCTTGCTCATCAGCAATCTCATCTTGGTCATCAGCAATCTCATTTTGCTTATCAGCAGCCCCATTCATCTTCTCGGTGTGAAGAGTGACCTCCTTCATCTCATCACTTTCCAGATCACAAACATGCAACAGGTTTTTCCTCTGTCTGCTGAAGACCATCTCACGGCCCGAAGTGCAAATCGGAACCATTCCCGTAACATCATAATTCCTGTTTATACTATAACGTTTTATCCAGTAGCCCTCTACGTCACCACCATCCCTCCTCCTCAAAATCCATACCTGGATCAAGTGCATCGTAGCATGAGTGACAAAGCTCAATAACCCACCACCCACCTCAACTAAACGGTCATTCTTGGTGCTGATGATTGGCAACGGTATGATGAGGAACCTTTCGTCATCATATCCCAGAGAGACGATATGAGTGCAGTGAGCTCTTCCAGGTAGCCAATACATTGCTCCAGTAGCTGAAACAGGCAGGTGAAGAATGATGTGTTGTTGGACGGTTAGAGGTGGTCCATCTACCGCATGCCATGACCTTGTAGATAGGCTTAGAATCTCACATCTGGCGTGGAGGTATTTGTCGCGAAATAAGTGTACCACTTTATACTCACCCATATGTCCCCGACGCATTAACCCAAATGACTCTGGGCTGAAACCGGCCGTTCCCAGGGGAAATCGTAAGTGCTTCCTACTGCTTGGGTTGACTACTACTAGTCCTCTTGTCGTTTTCATTTTGGCCAATACTAGTCCATCGCAGGATGCTAAAACTGAGTCTATTATGGCCAAGTTCTGAACAGGAATTTTGCTACTTTTCCCGCTATGCAATTCCCAGAGTTGGAAAAAGTGTACAATACTTTGAGAATGGGGTTATGGTGCAAAAGGCAAAGATTTGTTGTGGTTCTCGTAATTTGAGATTAAAGTGAGAAGAACAGTCTCAGAGCGACGAAGGTGAGCTTCAATGAAGTTTGGACTTGTGATCATGTTAAACAGCGTTTTGCAGACAAAGCTTACCCTGCACAGTGTATCGGCCGGGAGTAGAAGAAATATTTTGAAGAGAAGGTCAAAGGGAATCCATGTTTTGTGATTTGATGAGCCTTCTATCTCTAAACCACAAAGCAGCACATCTCTTTCCTTTTCATCCATAGATTCAATCTGTTTAGCCTTTTTATCTGGCCTCTTTTCCATGTACACAGTTGCTCCCTCCTGTTGCTGTTAACTCCAGAAAGTTACCCAAATAAGAGTCTCTATAAAATAGAGTTATTCAGTCCATTTGAGACCAACTCTTACAACAAATTCTACATCGTCGCTTAGAAAAATCAGGCTTTTATACTTCCAAGTTTTCCTACATCAATTAGAACCACACAATTATCATTTCTTAAATGGTTTGTCCAAGTCAAACACAAAACATTAAAATGGGGTATAGGAGTACGAGTAGTGTAAATAAATGCACCAAAGAAGGCAGTTTCTCCCTTTTCGTTCTCAGAAGGACCATATAATAAGTAGTAATAGATTGAGTAGTTTTATGGAGACTCATAATGAGTCCCTCATGGAGTAGATGGAGTAGTCTTATGGAGACTCATAATGAGTCCCTCATATTGAATAGTAATAGATTGACTCCCTCATGGAGTCATAATGAGTGGCTATTGTTATGACTCTTATGACATGATACCACATGTCTCCCTATATGAGTCTCCTTAAAAATTTTAGTAATAGATTTGCTAAATATGGGACAATAATGATACCAACAAGAAATGATCTTTTTTGTAATTTTGGCCAACCCCTTCCCTTACAGATAAGCAAGCAACATTGTCCGTACAAACCCACCATCATCATATTCTCAGGGGCCAGTTTTTTCAGAGACAAACACGCCCAGACTCTAAGTATATACACTAATAACACATAACATATGAATATATGATCAAAGCTTAACTAATACGCAAATATGGCGAAAACGTGGCATCGAATATGGAGAAAATTTCAAGAAAACGCTTTTTAAAAGACTTAAGATGAAGAAGAAGATGAAATACCGGATGAGAACCCAATTTCGTCTTCTCTATGTGTGGAGGAGGAGCGGGCATCACAGGGTTAAGGTTGGGGAAAAGGAAGGTTCTGTTTACTCTCACACTGGCGGTTGCTCATTGGCTGCTCTATTTGTTTTTCTTTCTTTTTTTAAACCTAAAATCGCAGCCTGCCTTTTTCGCTGAGTTGGAAACGTAGTAAGGATAGAAAAGATTAATTAAAGGGAAAGTCCCAAAATAGGACTAAAATAGTTTGATAATTTTAAAATAGGACTGACATGTTTTTTATTCCCAAAATAGGAGTAATTACTGCCAAGTTTGGAAAATACTGTCATGTTTGAAGTCTGGTACTGCCAAAACATGACAGTAATTAGTCCTATTTTGGGAATAAAAACATGACAGTCCTATTTTGGGATTTTCAAACTATTTCGGGTAATATCTCTTAATTAAACTCCATCATAACTTTCACCCGGCCGGTACTGGTCGGAGACTCATCTCGCCATATGATATGACTTGAATTTCATCTCATATGATCCTACTTCAATATTGAAAATTTCACCTTATTTTTAATATTTATTGCATTTGGAGGAACAAATCAATTTGTTGCAATTTTCTTTATTCTTGTTTTCATGAACAAGCTTGAGGCTATGTGTATAAGGAGGTGTATACTATACAACGAGTTCCGGTGACACTTTTGTAATTTTATTGAAAAACATGACTTCTCTTCTAATTCGCTTTCTTTTTATTATTTTTTCGTTTATAAAAAAGTCTTAAATTATGTCTGTAATCAATTCCAATTAATTTCAATATGTGAATTCAATGTAGTATAAGGATATTTTTACTTGGACTGTAATTTGTCCCAGAACAGACCAGACCAGACCAGACCAGTCCAGTCCAAACCAGACCAGTTCAGATCAGACCAGACCAGACTTGAATAATTATAAAAATACAAAGAAACCAGACCAGACTTGAATAATTATAAAAATACAAAGAAACCAGACCTTACCAGACCAGACCAGTTCAGACCCGACCAGATCAGATCAGACCAGACTAGCAAATTACAGTCCAAGTAAAAACATCTTACCAAAAGGTACGATGCTTTATAATGTGACAACACTTTATAAAAAGTTGTAACACCGTAAATGTTTTCTAATCGAGATTGAAACTAGAAAGAATGACAAAAGTAAGAGTGTTGGCTTTCAATTGGACAAGAATAGAACAGATGCTCGTATGGGACAAATAAGTTATTAAAATTATATGAAGTGCCTAAATTACCCCCACTGCAGCATCGCATCATCACTTCGTCCATGCGCTCTTCTTCGCCTCTTCATCGCATCCCGTCCCATCTCCTGCAACCGTCTTCATCTTTCATCCGAAAAATATCATTGCCTGATAAAGCTGCCAAGAGACAGCCTCCGCCGCTCTTCTTCGCCTCTTCTTCGTCGGATTTCTTTGTCGCTCGCCTCAGATCGGCGAAGGCAGTGCTACACGATTCAGCTTCTAGATCTGAAGCCTAGGGTTTCCAATCGAGCGCGTGCGGCGGAATGCTGTGATTTTCAGTCAGCGGTAGGGTTTCAGGGGCAGGGGAGGTGGTTACGATGGGTCTTGGGCAGGGGAAGGGGTTGGGATGGACTAGGGTCCGGTGTGCTGCCTCGCCGGTGGTCGGAGCTGGATCTGTGTTGCGGGGGAATGGGTGGGATGCAGCAATTGTATGGGGCCGGGTGAGGGGGCAACGATTGTGTGAAGGATGGGGATGGGGATGCGGAGTTGGGGATAGGGCTGGGTAGGGGTGGTGGAGGACAGGGGTGACGACGGTGGCCGGGGTAGCAGGGGCTGGCGGTGGCAGTCGGCTGGGGTGAGCTGGAATGGGATTGGGGTTGTAAGAGAGGGGCCGGAGTTTATGGCTACCGGCGGTGGTGGAAGGTGGTGGTTACCAGCGGGAATTGGATAATTGTACATGGTCGGTCATGTAATTGATCGGGTAACTATAATTGATTTGGTAAATGTAATTAGTAGGTTCGGGGTGACTGTAACTGATCGGGTTGGACATAAGTTATTGATTGGGTTGGATAGTTGGAACTAATCGGATTGGATAATTGTAACGATTGGGGTCAAGTAACTGTAATTGGACAATTGGTCGTTGGTCATTGGACGGACGAACGCTGGTCACTGAACAATCGGAAGTCACTTTGTCACTGAGCAGAATTTGTGGTCACTAATTCTTTTTGGTCACGGGTCGAATAATTGTAACTGGACTGATCGGGTAATTGTAACTGGGGACGGGGTCGAGTAACTGTAAATGCGGTTCGTGTAACTGTAACTGAATGACGTCGGGTAACTGTAATTGGACGGGTCATATCGGGTAATTGTAACTGGACGGGTCGGGTTGGATATCTGTAAATGGACGGATCGGGTAACTGTAACTGGACGGACCGAGTAACCGTAACTGGACGATTTGGGTAACTGTAACTGGACAAGTCGAGTAATTGTAACTGGACGGATAACTATAATAGGTGTCGGGCGGATAACTATAAGTAATTGAACGATTAATCAGATAACCGTAATTTTTGAAGTATAAAAATCCCACAACTTTTTTATCTTGAAAATAGTTGTAACATGTTGAGGAGCTTGGAAATTGCAAGGGAATTTCGTACTATTCATTAGAATATACGCATTTAGTTATTACGTAGGTCATACGTAGTAGTATATACGCATTTAGTTATTACTCTGTACTCCATATTAATTAGGAAGGGGTATATTTGGTATTAGCTACTCCGTATTAAATAGTCACACGGTGGTCTCTTTTCAGGAAGATTACTTATATTTGTCCAATCTCTTATAATTAGTAATATTGGTGACCTAACCCCTTGAAACTATTAGAAGTAGTTAAATTAGTATCTATTACATGGCGGATGTGTGGGGAACAGAATGGTCGTTTTTCTATAAAAAGTTGTTTTAAATTGCTTTGAGGAACATCTGGAAACGTGGAAAAGGACGGGCTCGACTAGTATGTGAAATCTTTTAAGGTTGCACAATATGCTACGGATAATAAAATTATTTTTTTGGTGAACAATGGCGGGATGTCTCTCGACTGCCGATAAATTGTGTAGTATGCCTTAGCACAAAGCATTAAGGCATGAATAGTATCCTCGTCCTCCAGCCCGCATATATTACAAGTAGGTGATATGTCCAAATGAGGAAGTTGGGGGTTTTTGAAGACCGGATCCGAAAGTGCATGAATAATCTAAATGAGGAAGGAAAATTCAAACTGCCCGGGTAGTAAGGGCAGCAGACAGCTCTCGTGCAGGGTGGGTATGAACCCGGTGCAGGGAAATGGCGGCGACCTCCGGTCGGGCAGATAAAAATAAATGTAGATGACGCGATTGATGAGGCATTGAGGAATTTGAGCATGGGATGGCGAATCCAAGGAGCAACTACTATGTGCAGGGGTGGCAAATCCAAAGAGGCTCACTGATCACTGTCGTTGAATATGTTGTTTTAATCCAATAGAAATCTCCTTGCATTAACTCAAGAGACAAAAAACATTACATTGAGCTATGGATAACTCTCAATAGAAAATTTAATTACATGCACAGATCTCCAATTCTAGAGGTGCGAAAAGTTCACTACAGAATGGGTAAAGCACATCTATATGAGATATAATCAGAGCACTGAACAGCTGCATACACTAATTTCGGATGGACCCTTTCAACTACTAGCTCTCACGAAAAATCTGCATCAATAACTTCCCCATCTCCATCGGTTTTACCTGAAGAGCCTGGTTTTGAGGTTTTATCATCAGGCGTAGGCGTAGCTCCTGAACCTGGCTGGCTGTAAAGAGACTGCCCAAGTTGCATAGCTTCTTGGTTAAGTGCCGCCATGGCATCCTTTATGGTCTGGGTTGATCCGCTGGAAATGGCATCCTTTAGCTCTTTCAGCTTAGACTCCACTTTGTCTTTCACGTTCATAGGGACCTTGTCTCCCAACTCCTTGAATTGCTTTTCCGTTTGGTAGACGAGAGATTCGGCCTGGTTCTTCGTGTCAATTGCATCCCTCCTCTCCTTATCCTCTTTCGCAAATCTCTCTGCTTCCTTTACCATTCTATCTACCTGATGACAGTTTTTGTTCAAGGAAACTTGAGTTGATCATTGTTAAGAGAACATAAAAAGAAACTTTTGATGTTTGAACAGAAACTTAAATAAGTCAATAAACCACTCATCTTGGGATAATAACAAAATAAGCCACTAGACTTATTTGTTGCTCACCTCATCTGTGGGCAAGGTGCTGGCTCCAGTAATGGTGATGTCCTGTTTCTTTCCAGTTCCTTTATCTACAGCAGTGACCGAGAGGATGCCATTAGCGTCAATGTCAAACTTCACTTCAATCTGTGGAACACCACGCGGAGCTGGTGGAATTCCATCAAGGCGGAAACTCCCCAAGGATTTGTTGTCTTTGACGAATTCTCTTTCCCCTTGAAGCACATTGATTTCAACACTGGTTTGGCCATCCGCAGCAGTTGAGAAAACCTCAGACTTGGATGTTGGTAGAGTTGTGTTTCTTGGTATGATTTTTGTCATGACACCACCGAGAGTCTCCAGGCCCAGGGATAATGGAGTCACATCCAATAGCACAATATTGCTTACATCTCCCGCCAAAACACCTGCCTGAACTTTTTAAGGATATGGAACAAAAGAAAAAGTTACTTAACCCTTCAAAACACAGCAAAAAAGTAAAATTGAAGGGAGAAGGGATCAGAAAATGGAGGGAAATGTCAACCTGTACTGCAGCTCCGAGAGCAACAACTTCATCAGGATTCACGGTAACATTAGGTTCTTTACCAGTCAATTTCCGAACAAGGTCTTGTACAGCAGGAATTCGGGTAGAACCACCAACAAGAATGACTTCGTCGATGTCATTAAAGGATAGCTTTGCATCTCTCAAAGAAGTTTCAACGGGTGTTTTCAATCTACAAATAAAACCCTAAGCTTGGTCATTTACGGAGGGAACGCACACAACAGCTTGAAACAATTCAAAAAATTGTTTTTCATTTGAAGCGACTCAATTTGAATAGAAATTACTGACTACCTGTCTAGTAAATCTGAACACAATTCTTCAAACTTGGCCCGTGTAAGCGTGGTGTCAATATGCTTTGGACC